GAGAGAGAGAGAGTGAGAGAGAGATAGAGAGATAGAGAGAGAGAGAGAGAGAGAGACAGAGAGACAGAGAGAGAGAGAGAGAGAGGGAGAGAGCGCGAGAGAGAGAGCGAGAGTAAGAGTGATAGTGAGAGCGAGAACGAGAGACAGGGAGCGTCCGAGAAAGAGTTTTGAGGGAGGGAGGGAGGGAGGGAGGGAGGGAGGGAGGGAGGGAAGGAGCTCATGCTGGAACCCTAACCCGAAATGGTGCACATCTCCTTGTCGGCATGAGAGACAGGCACGGTGCGGGGCGAAACATCGTGCAGCTCGAGATGTCCCCGACCCAGGACTTGCAAAAACCAAGAAAGCTTGGCATCCCTCCACCTGAAGCCCAGACGTCCTGATATGTTAGGCCTCTGGTGCTCAGGGCTCATGCAGCCTAGGTTTGAGAGGCTTATAAGAGCACCCTTGGTAGGAGAACCACTTCATCGTCACCGTGGATGATGATGGCAACATCAGGGTGCACAACATCAAGGCTCGCCTCTTATTGCCTGCTAAGAGCTAAACCCGGAAGCGCCACGAAGCCCGCCGACCTCAAAAATCGATCAACCTCGACCCGAAAACACAGCATCCTAAAATCGCACCCTGAACCCTAAACCCTAAAGGCCCTCGGAAAAAAAAAAACCGTACAAGTTCCACAGATCGTCGCCAAGAAGCAGAAAGCTGAGGGCGGGCGCTCCCCTCAGAGCAAGCGCAGCTTCAGGGCCTCCGTGCTTCAGGGTTTAGGCTTCAGGCTTTTTAGGGTCAGGGGCCGTTCAGGGTTAAAGGTTCAGGGTTTCAGGAAGGCCGTTTTGTAAGAAATAGGCGAATAGGGCTTAGGGTGAAGTCGAGGCGTGGCTTCTATGATGCGAGCTTTGAGAGTTTCATGGCAGTGGCCTTGTGGACAGCTGCCCGACAATGGAGTGCATGGCATGCCTGTCACAACTTGATGCGTGGCTGTGCAACAAACAACCTATTTACTCACTGCAGACGCCAGAAAGTTGGAACATCATTCTCCTCATGCTGTTAATGGTGAGGTATATGGGGATCCCAGCACTACTCATCCTTAGTCCATGTTCCAGCTTTCTGGGATTCACTGTAATGTAGGTTCTCAATGATTACCTATACTATGTTGCGGGGTTCCCTATTACAATTATAGTATCATGGGCGCCCAAAGCCTTGTTCTAATCATGAAGGCCCAAATTTTCAGCAAGCTCCACCATGGCATGGGCGAAATCAGCCGCATTCGTAAGCTCACTTTGGTAGTTTGGAAGCGGGCAGCTGGTAAGCCGGGAGAGCAAAGGAAGTGCACAATTCCTCTAAAAGGGTTCCTTTAAAGAGATACCTTAAGGTTAAGTGTTCCTTTCAAGAGATACCCTTAAGGGTTCCTTGAAGTGCATATTCCTCTAAAGGGTTCCTTTTAACGAGATACCTTAAGTTGAGTGTTCCTTTAAAGAGGTAGTTACCCATAAGGGTTCCTTTAAAAGGAGACTTCAAAATTTGCGAGCAAGGAGTTTGGCGCTTCGTGAAAGCGTTGAAAAATCCTTTCATCCAAGCTGACTCGGAAGAACTGCGGCAGTAATCTAAACCCCAAACCCTAAACCCTACAGCCTAAACCCTAAACCCTAAGCCTAAAGCCTGAAGCCTAAAGCCTAAAGCCTAAAGCCTAAACCCTAAAGAACTCCAATGCGACCTTGAACCATCCTGAACCCCTAAACTCGACTTGAAGAGTTCGAGCCGAACCTAAAAACTGACCGTGAAATCCTAGACCTGGTCGTTTTGAGAGTTTCGGACCCCAGGCTTCGAGTTACAGGGCCAATGCAGAGGCCAGAGTAGTTACACGTTCCTACTAGCGTCTCTGTTTTTTGTTGTAGGTCAATGTAAGGATCATATCACCCGGAATCCTACTCCAATTATTACGGACCCGCTGCGGCTGCGGCTCCCAACAGCCCACAAGCAAAGCTTACACCCTAAATTCTAGACCCTGTTCCCTCAGCCCATAAGACCTCCTGAAGCCCCAACTCCAACCCTACGCCCTCACAGTCCCAACCCTGACGAACTCGAAACTTTGCGTTCTGACACCTAAACCCTCCCAAAGCGACCCTAAACCCTAAAACCCTAAACCCTAAACCCTAAAACCCTTAACCCTAAACCCTAAACCCTAAACCCAAAGAGAAGGAAGGACAAAGACGAAGCAGAGGAAGAGCCCAAAGCAAAGGGGAAGGATCCCAAGGAGCCCGGGAGGGAGACTGAGGGAGACGAGGGGCTTCTTTGAGTGGTTCCCTTTAAGGGTTCCTTTTCAGGGTTTAGGGTTTAGGGTCTGGGGGTTCTACACACAAAGCTTGTAAGAGGGTTCTGGAAGGGCAATTTAGGGTTCAGGGCTTTAAGGCTTGTAGTTCTTGGGTTTTAAGAGCGTTCTGGAAGGATTTAGGGTTTACAGGGGTGATACTTAGGGCCATTGGGGTTCGATGTTTGGGTTTTCGGGGGGTTCTGGCGGGGTTTAGGGTTTAAGGGTTCTATAGGTTCTTCATGAGTTCTGTAAACATTTTTTAAAGGTTCCATTAGGTGTCAACAAAGATTCTACAATGATCTCTTTTTTTCCGGCCCGCTAGGAGCCTTTGTGGCTTTTGATTAGGGATCGCGTGACCTGTAGTGATTGTATGGTGGTGTATGGCAGCTTGTAGATTGTCAGACCCTCCAGCCTATTGAGCTACATGACAGAGACAGAAGAGGAAAATGGTCTTGTCATCATCATAATCATACTCATCATCTTCATCATCATCATAATCACCATCATCATCATCATCAGCTTCAGTTGGAAATTGCAATTCGGGTGGTGTTGGCAATATGCATCATCTCGAAGACGCTTCTTTCTGCTGTGTTTGTGTCAGGCACTGCGTGCGACGCAAAATATGTTGACTCCAAGAACATGGACAGTAGTACTAGTTTGTCGCGCATGTCGAACTTTGAACAGAGCGAGCATGGTCGGCGTGATCTGTCGGCGGTTCACAGTCTGAGTATGTCGATGCTGTTCGTTAGAGTCATGTCCGTAATTTCAGTACTGTTGGCATTCCCTCCGAAGATAGCTGTTACCCCTAGTCACTGGTCTTGATCCTCATGTCCGTCCTAGTATCGTTGTTGCCCGTCAGCCCGTCTTCGGGTTTTCGGATTCTGGGGTGTTCGGGCATTGAGCGCAGCATCGCTCATGACGTTTTGCTTGAGGGCTTACGCCTTACGCTGCAACATGGCTTCTGGCTTCGTGCTTACGGGGTTTCGTGCCCATCCCTAATGATCTAAATCCTAAGCCCAACCCTCAGGGTTTGGGGCATGGTCTGGGGCGGCCTTAGAAGGCTCATGTGGATCCTTTCTCACAGACTTCTTAGAATGGCGGATCCTCCCTGCCTTTCCGTTTCTGCTCCTTCATCTCATGCCGTGCTTGTGGGAGCAAGGGTGTAGAAAGTACGGACGCTCAGTCATTCATTCTGCATGTCAGAACTAGGCTGCCGAAAGCTTCCTTTCTGAGCCTCCGAAAAATTCCCTGCTTCGACTTCCGCCTGTGCTGGACTCGAGAAGTCTGAAACCGGCTACAACCCCTGAAACCCAAGCCAGAACCCTGCATTGTCAGCACGAAATCTCTGGACCCCGAGAAACTAAACCCTAAACCCTAAACCGAAACTGCGACGCAGGAGGCTAGAACTCTCAATGTCACAGCCAGCGGCGTCCTCGGATCACTGCATCTCGCAGCGTTTTCGAAGCTTAGGTTGGGCATGCTCCATGGGTTCACACTTCAATATATGGGCCTAAATCCTTACCAACAAAATTCGGTTCCTTAAACCTTATAGATAAGCCAAGACCCTATTCTGCATGTTAAGGCCCCTACTTTACACAAGTTCCAGACGGATGGTTGCAAAGAAGAGTGAAAGAGCAGCGTTTGGTTTTTCAGCTCTTGCCCGACATCCATCTTAATCACAAGCAGCATGGCAGAACCCCTAAACCCTTAAACCCTAAACCCTAAACCCTAAACCCTTAACCCTTAACCCTTAAACCCTAAACCCAAACCTTCTAAGTGGGGTTTTGGTTTAGGGTTTGGGGTCTTGCGGCTTCAGAGTTGCAGCTGTCGTCGCTTCCGAACCCGAAGTTCACACACAAACCCCCCCCACCCCCACCCCTTCGGCCGTTGTGTATAGGGGTTTTGGGTTTGGGGGTTTAGGGTTTTGGGATCCTTTCAGTTTGCGAAGGTCTGGATTGGGGGGCTTTTGGCAGCCAAAGATGGGAAGGTCTGGAATGGTCGACAGTACCAATTCAGACCCTGGTTGGGAGACCAATCTAGACCTTCGTCGTGTGGCAGCATGTTGTCACATGTTGTGCATGTTGCACTATCTTGTCGCAGGAGGCTGAGAAGGCACCTTTTGTTAAAATGTAGAGACTGCCTTGTTCATTAGGTTTGTCAGTCAGTATCCTCCGACTTGGAGCAGCAGCAGAACACATCGAGTCAGAGACACGCAGCACAGCAAGCAATCATGTGTTGCAGGTAGCTTATTCATGTGCCAACAAACGCCCGGGACTCACACCGGCAGTCCGTATTGCCCCCCACCGACGTCGGAATGTGATAATGTTTGACATTGTGGCATTCCATGATCCCTCCTAAACTCGTCAACATCCGATGCAAGGTCTGTGTAGAGCTAGGGTCTGGAAAGGGTCGTGTAACCCCTGGGCAGCCAACCATAACAGACCCCGGAAAAGGTCTGATATAGTGGTTGCCACTAGACCCCTCCACAAACTGAGGTGATGTTTTGGGTTTAGGGGTTTAGGTTTTATAGCGTTTAGGGTTTAGGGGTTTAGGGTTGAGGGGTTTAGGGTTTAGGGGTTTTGGGTTTAGGGTTTAGGGGTGTGTTCAACCGTCCTTGCTGAGATCACAGCCTTCAGCGAAAGCGCTCAGATATCTTTGAACAACCGAAGACCCGCAAGTGGATTTCCAAATGTTTAATCACATGACCTGTCAGAGACGATCATATACTGTAATGCACGAATCACTACAGGAAACTGTCATAGACGATCAGATGCAGCAAGAAACCAACCAATAAGTATAACGTGCTGTATCTATACAATATAATATGACTATATTCACATACAACATGTACGACAATATGCTATAATATACGACAACAAATCGGAAACACAAATCAGAATAGAGAATTCTGGGTTCTCCATCCCAGCTCCCAAGCACAGCCCAATCTGCCACCAAGCAGAATGCGCATGGCGCCCAACACGTACTACAAGCAACATTGTATATTAAAACCAGACAACTACACATGTGTATATATATATATATATAGGTATATACATATACAAATATGTATATGATATACAACATATATATATATATATAGAATATTAGATATATGATCATAATGATGATGACGACGATGATGATGATGACGACTCACTAAGCCTGAAGTCTGAAGGTCTTGCCTCGAGCTTCACGCTGTCGCCAGGGGCGCTTGCGGAGGCAGGTAATCATGGCCGTCAGGTCACGACTAGACGGGTTTAGGGTTTTTAGGGGTTCGGTGTTTAGGGTTTATGGGGGTTAGAGTTGAGGGCTTCGGGTGAGAGGGTTTAGGGTTTAGGAGGTAACTCACCCACAAGAGTTTCATTATTACTACTGCTTTGTGCTACTGCTGCTGCTACTGCTACTGCTACTGCTACTGCTGCTGTTGCTGCTGCTACTGCTAGTGCTAATCAAGGACTCTACTCGTGCTACGTTCTGGCTTTCCTAACGACCAACGAGTTGAACCGTAAACCCCCTCTACACCTTCATGAAACCAAAAGCCCTGTCCCTCACCCAAACTACCCCACACCAGTCAGCCCAAAGCTACGATCCCTTAGCGTCCGTCGCGGCTTCCCGTATCCTTACCGGCCGGAAAATCAAACCCTTCGGACCCCAACCCGAAACCAGAGTAAACAGCAGCCATTGACACACTCAGACAAAGACCATCACACCAGGGCCACATCCCGAGACCACAGCACCACCACCCAACAGAAGCTTTCATCGAAAATGCGCTCCGCATCGCAACAGCGAGTGCCTCGCGACCTGACCTTGGCAACCTCATCCCTGCCCCTTCAACGTAGAACGCCCATAGTTGCCACAATGCTGGAGGGAAAATCTTGAGCCTTCATCATCATGACCCTAATCCCCACAGGTACCTACCATATAGGGTACTAGAGCCCCTAGGATATATAGCAGGTACCTGCGGGGTTAGGGCAAGGCAACCCTAAACCCTAATCCCTAAACCCTAAACCCCAAACCCTAAACCCTAAACCCTAAACCCTAAACCCCTAAACCCCTAAACCCTAAACCCTAAACCCTAAACTCTAAACCCTAAGGGTTGCTATAGTCAAGGTTAGATCACCGCAGTTCCTGTGTAGGCCCGGAAACTGACCGTCGTCGTCCCAATCGAGTGCCTGGTCTTCACTGGAAACATCCTTCAGGGTCATCGAAGCTTCCGGTCTCCCATTCAGGGTGTTTTAGGCTTTGGGGTTTAGGGCCTATTTAGGGTTTAGGGTTTAGGGTTTGGGGTTTAGGGTTTAGGGTCTAGGGTTTGGGGTTTAGGGTTTGGGGGACTTTGGAGCAATGTTGTGTGGTTTTGGTGGTGACGGCTTCTCGGGTTGGCGGATTCCTGAGGCACGGGCTTGTCCTTCCGTTTTTGGTTCAAGGTTTCCGCGCTTCTCTGATTCCTTGAAGGCTCCTGAATAGGCTTGTCCAGCAATTGCTTAGTTACTTTCTGGATCTACGAGGCTTTTGGTCCGGATTTGAACCCCGAACCACGAGCCCGACGTCCTGAAATCCCAGCTACACGCCCTAAGCCCTAAACCCTAATGCCTAAACCCTAAACCCTAAGCGCTAAACCCTAAACCCTAAACCTCTACACTCTAACCCTGAAGCCCTCCTCGGCGGAAACTCTCCATCAGAGGCGCGGCGAGGAAGCTTTGGAAGCCCCCACTGTTTAGGTCTGAGGATTTAGGGGTTTAGGGTTTCCAGACGCGAGGGTCAGCTATTTACACCAGTGATCCGGTATGAGGGTTTAGCGCTGGCTCTCCCCTGTCTCTCTCTCTCTCTCTCTCTCTCTCCCTCCTTCTCCCTCTCTTTCTCTGCATGAGCTGGGGTTTCAGCCTGGTTCGGCCGAATTACGGTTTCAGCCCCTGCAAACATAAGCAGACCCCATAGCCATAGCCCACATAAGACTGAGGCGGGGCTCGCAGACTTTCTTTGTGGCTGGAGATTCCTTGGGTGGACTCTCCGTGTTCTTCCGGAATGGCCGGGGGCCTGAGGAGACCATCTCAGTCCAGTGGTTTGGGGTTTAGGGTTTAGGGTTTAGGGTTTAGGTTTGGGTTCTTGTTGCTTTTCGGCTTGGGGTTGAGGGTTTGGGGTTCTGGGGCCCTAAACCCTAAACCCTAAACCTTGAACAGAGCTCTGGCCAAGCCCTAAACCAGCTCCCGAAGATGGTGGTGGCTAGTCTCTTGGTCTCAGGTTTACTACCTCAGCCTACCAGGCTCCCTAACTGGATTAACTGGCAGAAAAGAGCCCCCCCTCCCCCCCAAAAAAAGCATCTCCTGAAGCCCCGAATCCTCAACTACCCTCAGCCCTGAAGACTATAACGTAGGGGCCTAAATCCTTAGGGCTCAGGGTTTAGGGTTTAGGGTTTAAGGTTTAGGGCTCAGGGTTTAGGGTTGAGGGTTCTTGTGAATTAAAGTCGGCTGGAATCATCAGAACCGTCTTCCGAAAAGGCTGGGATAAAGCATTTTTTGGCTTTGGCCCGAATTCCCCTCAGCCGGAAACCCTGGACCCTACATCTCTAAACTCGAGACCCCAAACCCCATAAAGAAACCCTGCAAGCCCTTCCAAGATCCCTTTACTAGGGATTAGACCTTAACGTATAGTAGGATCCCTAGTATGATTCAAGGTATATTCCTTACTTAATGTATTTTGGAAGCCCTTAACCCTAAGCCCCAAAAGGTCCGGGCCTCCAATAGCCCGAAACTTGAAGCTGTGAGTGTAGGGTTTAGGGCTTAAGGCTTATAGGGCTTTAGGGTTTAGGGCTTATAGGCTTTAGGGTTTAGGGCTGATAGGGCTTTCGGGGTGGCAGCCCAGAGGCACCATGCGCGGCCGCGTGCGCGTCACCGAAGACCCGGGCGGCGTCAAGGGCCTCGTGCGAGGGCAGGCTTGCCCAAGTGGGGTTCCTGTATGGGCTTAAAAAAAAATAAGAATAGGGTTTTGGGTCCTTATTATTATAATTATAGCATATTATACCCCCAAACCCTATTCTAATTATTAAGGCCCTATAGGGTGGCACGGCTTTGTGCTGTTACGGTTTAGTGTTTAGGATGTAGGCTTTATAGGGTTTAGGATCTATAGGTCTATAGGGTCCAGGCTTTTAGGGTTTAGGGCCGTTGGGGTTTAGGGTTTAGGATCTGGGCTTTAGGGTTTAGAGCTTCGCAGTGACATGTAAAATAATTTGTATAAAGGGGTTTGGGATCTAGGGGCTTCCCTGAACCGCTGAAAATGCTACCGTTTCACGGAGTTTTTCTTAAGGCAATCTAACTAAGGAGCCGACTCAGGTTTCGCAAAGTGAGGGGCTGTAGGGGGAATTTGGGCTAGTAGTCCGGGTTTTGCGTTTGGCGTCCAGGGCTCGGGGTGCTGTAGAGTTTGAGTTTGGGTTTCGGAGCTTCAGGTTGGTAAACCCTGTAAACCCTAGGAACCCTATAAATATAATTAAAAGCCCCATAGTCATAGACCCCAAACCCCTACACCCTACACCAATCCTATAAACCCTAGGAGCCCTATAATAAATACAGTGATAAACGAAATAAAGCCCTATACACCCGAAACCCTACAGCCCGCGCAGGGCCAGCAGCAAGTGCTGTTCTACAGCTCCCACGCTTTCGGCTTTTTCTCTCCGAGCCAGGTCGACCTGCAGTGCGCTACTCGCAGCGTGCGTTCCAGTGTTAATTAGGGTTTAGGGTTTAGGGTTTAGGGTTAATGTGGGTAGTATGCCAAAGTAGGGTCCCATTTTATAAGGCTGCCGTACATTTTTGGGGGCTTAAAAGGGGCCCTAATCCAGAGAACTGCCCATGTGTAGTGGGCTTGAAACTTGATGCCTCCGTGTTCAAGATTTGTGGCTTTTCAGCCAGGCGTAGCCTGTGGTTGGCTGAACTCTAAACCCCTGAAGCCTAAAACTCTAAAGCCAAAGCCCGAAACCCTAAACCTATGAATCCAAGAAGCCGTATAACCCTATAAACCCTATAAGCCCCATGGCACTAGAAACCCTATGGACTCTATAGACCTTGAGCTAGACCCCTATAACCCCTATAAAACCTATGCCCCCTAAAGGCCCTACGTAAGCCCTAAAACCCTGAAGCCCCAACCTTGAACCCTGAAACTGAGAACCCAATCAGCCTTACAAGCCATATAAACCCTATACCCTGTAAGCCTTAAAAACCTGTAAGAGTTGGGAGGTACGATATAAACCCTATAAGCCCTATAAACCCTTAAGCCTAGAAGCCTAAAGCCTTAGACCCAAAACCCACAACCCTAAGAACCCTATAGGGCCTGCAATCCCTTTAAGCCTTAAGAGCCCTACTTATCAACTCTATAAGCCCTAAGAACCTAAACTCTAAACCCTAAACCCTAAGCCCGAAACCCTAAACCCTAAACCCTAAACTCTAAACCCTGAGCCCTAAACCCTAAACCCTGGGAGGTACGCGCCCTGCACCGGCTGGAACTCGCCTCTCGTGGATCTGGCCATGGAGCCGGGATACTCGCCCGGCCCTCGGAAGGGCTCCGTTTCAGGGTTCCTTGAAGGGTCCCTCTACAGGGTTTGGGTTTAGGGTTTAGGGTTTAGGGTTCATTGATTAAAGGACCAGGAGCAACATAACTCTTTTTGGATTTCTTCATCCTGACTAAACGGTCGGACAACTCCGTAACAGTTCTGGCAGCGAAGCCGTTGGTCAACCTTGAAGTGGTGACTGTACGACGCGGCAAGTGTACCCATAGGCCCCATAGTAGTTCCTTTTTGTGGCTTATTTTTAGGATCCTATTAGGTAACCCCAAAAAGGAACTACTATGGTTGATGGACAAAATCCTGCATGACCTTATATACCTAAATTATGGGATTTATGGTACTATACTATATTTGGGTCATGCAGAATTTTGTCCATCAACAGTATGGGGCCTATGGGTAGTGTGATCCTTCCTGAAGAGGTATGCGAACCCTGCGGAACCCCGACAACAAGCAGCCCCCAGTCCGTAACCCGATGACACATGTAGACCGCAAGCCAGTGATGGCACTTTGGTTTAGGGTTTAGGGTTTAGGGTTTAGGGTTTAGGGTTTAGGCCCAAATCTTTGTGCAAGTTTGCCTATGTCCTCTTTGGGCACCTATTTAAGGGCTCCCATGTTGGTTCGCTGTGCGGCTACTGAGGAAGCTGCTTCAATAGTCAGGTGGCGAAACCAAAAATCAGCAACAAGAAGTACAGTAGTATGAGTATGAGTACTACTGTGGTAGTGGTGCTTGGCCGGCGAAACCCATGGTGCCTTTAAGGGGGAACGAGTGGCAGTCAACAACAGATGTGTCTGCCAGCCCTGCACTACGCATTCTGTCCTTGAGTTTGCCGTCTTACTATGCTGAGAAGATCCCTTTGCCTGCTAGGCCCTAAACCCTAAACCCTAAACCCTAAACTCTCAACCCTAAGCCCTAAACCCCGGTATCAGGATCTGAAGAGGGGAAGCCCGGGGGTTTCCTAATCTCTAAGCCCAAAACCCTAAAAAACGCCCGAATCCCTCGCAAGACCTTTAGAAGGTCCTGTGAAGTCCCGACCATGATCCTATAAGTATAGTATAAAGGACCCCAAAACCCTATTCTAATTACCAAGGGTTCTACATTAACCCTAAACCCTATAAACCCTAAACCTCAAGCCCGAGCCTTAAGCCCAAGCCGTACCCAAGCCCCTAAAGCAAACCTGAATTCCTTCAGCTCGTAGAGCCGAAATCCTAACAGTTTACGCTTCAGGGTTTAGGGTTTCGGGGTTTAGGGTTTAGGGTTTAGGCTTTAGGGTTTAGGTTCCTAAACTCCAGACGGTAAACCCTAAACCCTAAACCCTGAACCCTAAACCCTAAACGACCCTACTAAGGACTGGCCGGGTGCTCCTAGCCCTGCAGGACGGCCCCCCGCGGGTTTCGGGGTCCTAATTTAGGGGGAAGGCGTATTTTTTCTGTACTTTTTTTTTGTTTTTGTACTTTTTTTTTTTCGCTGGGGTCCCTTTGAAGGCAATGAAGGAAGGAAGGAAGAAAGAAGGAAGGAGGGAAGGAAGGAAGGAAGGAAGGAAGGAACGAAGGCAGGAAGGAAGGAAAGAAGGAAGGAAGGAAGGAAGGAACGAAGGAAGGAAGGAAGGAAGGAAGGAAAGAAGGAAAGAAGGAAAGAAAGAAGGAAGGAAGAAAGGAACGAGGGAAGGAAGGAATAAAGGAAGGAAGGAAGGAAGAAGGAAGGAAGAAGGAACGAAGGAAGGAAAGAAAGAAGGAAGGAAGAAAGGAAAGAACGAAGGAAGGAAGGAGAGAAGGA